TGTAATATACTTTTCCCAAATTTTCAGCACTTTCCTCTGATCTACTATTCTATTCCCCTGGGAGTCTTCGATGCAAACAGTTGCTTTTCATGAATTACATTTCTGGTATTGCGTGGTATTGAAGGGGGTAGAAATTATTCATTTGTTACCTTCCTGAAAAATGAGTTGGCAAGTTATTCGAAAATTCTAGCATTTTTTATAATTTATATTCTGACTTAAACCAAAAAGACCACAAGTTGTACATAGGTCGCTTGGAAACCTAGTCTTTTAGAAGTCCTTACCCTATTTCGGAACTTCTGTGACAGGAAGGGCTTGAAGATTGCGAAGAGCATGTTGAATACATAAGGCTGGTTCACAATGTGGTGACTTTTAAACCTAAGTGGAGCGCATTCCTGAAACACAAAAACAGAAACATTTGAAATGTTACTGTTGATACGTGTACATAAAGTTCCAAGGAGACCTGTCCATAACAACACCCTTCTACTTCCACGCTTCCTAGAACCCTGTCTGCTCTGTGGTTGCTAGGAGACCATATCAGGTGTAACACATATGGAGATCTGCTTTCACCTGCTTCGTCACTAGGTATCTATATGTGATTTTATAGATAAAACATCGCATTTTACGTATAAGAACTAGCCATGCTACTCCTCGGGCGTAAGCAATTATCATCGTGGTTGGCAATGCGCCCCTTTTTGAGCCACAACCTTCCTTAGAAGATTCTGCCAGATTGCATCTGGTTTTCATTCTTTTGGATCTCGTGACAATTTTTTTACAGAGCAAGGTCCTCAGCCTTGCGTCCAACCACCAAACTGGAGGACCAGGTCCCTGTATTTATGTCCCCCAGTCACAGGGTGGCCCAGTTATACCCCCAGGCACCGGGTTCCTTTTTCGTCTCCTTCTGTGATTCAAAGGGTTACGGTGGCGATATCCTAACCCGCCTCCACACGCGAAACAGTCGTAAAGAATAGATTATGATATGCAAAGTGTTACTGAAAGGTGTAGACAGACTTTGGGCACGAGTTTCACATAAACTAAAATATATCCATATTAAAAAATGTCCGGAGACACTCAATTTGTGAGTCATAACTGAAAGAATACTGTGCAGACATTAGCAGTTGTTCAGCATCAATGTGTATGCAGGGTTCTTGGCGGTTCTTTGGTAGGCTAGCATGTTTTGCCACATCGGCCTAGAGGGAACCACTACCGAGATTTCCTCTTCCATGATCTGCCAAAGCTAGTGGAACATGTACCAGTGACAGTCAGAGCACAAATGCGGTACATGCATGATTGTGCTCCGGCATATTTTAGCCGTGCTGTGCGAGATATTCTCAATTACACCTATAATGAACAATGGATAGGTAGAGGAGGACCCATTTCATGGCCGCCACGCTCGCCAGATTTGAGTCCCCTGGATTTTTACCTGTGGGGACACCTAAAATCCCTTGTGTATGCAGCTCCTGTTGACAACGAAGAAGCACTTCGCCGTCGCATTGTGAATGCCTGTCAGACTATCCGCAAATACTCCGGCATCTTTGAACGGATGCGGTGGTCACTGATGAGACGTGTCGATGCATGCGTTGAATCTCATGCAGGACATTTTGAGCACGTGTTATAAATGTACTCTTTATGCTATAACTTATAAATGTTTCCGGACACAAGCTGATGTGGATATTTTTTCTTGTTTTGGTATATGGAACTCGTGACCAAAGTTTCGCCCGCATCTTTCGGTTACATCCTGTTTCGTTTTTGGAATCTAAATTTAACAATTGCGAAGATCAGTCAAGTGTTTTATTTTCTAAGTGCTCTAACTTTCAAATGTCAGAAAACGCGTTAAAGCAACCTGCTACTGAGAATATGATAAAACCTTCTGGGTTTTAACGTCACGTAGTAAGGTTTCGGAGGGAGGTACTGCCTCCATCTCCAGGCCCTGCTTTGCGTCTGCGTACTGTTGGTTTCTTTCCTTGACCTAGAAGACAGGGGAGATATGTTCCTTCGAAACCTCGGTGAACTGCACCGTACTACACGACTTCATAACCCGGAGGGTCGCGCCCTGCATTGTCACCGCTGTAAGATCCTCAAGTATCCTGTTTCTATTTACATTGTCAACCAAGTTTAATAAATAAGCATGCAGGGGACTAATGTAACGTACACACACATGCAGATGTTAAATTGATACATTATGTAAACAGTTTCATTATTTTTATCTATTTTGTAAGTGAACTCGATAAGAAAAAGTACCTTTCGTACTATTAGGGCGAGGGCACACCAAGGAAACTAGCAACCGCAACGCAACCGCAATTTCCGAGAAAATCTAAGAATAGTCGTTGATTTATTTACATACCTGAGCCCAGTGGAGAATATTACTGGCGAAGGAGGGGCCGACTTGGTAGATGTGCTGAATACTGAGGCCTTCCAGATCAAAAATTACATCTACGCCACTAATCTGAGTGCGATATTCTGTGATGGCTATTTCTACTAGTAGCAATATGCATCTGAAAAGTTCGTTCAGCGAAACATCTTTCACTTTCCAATTTCCTGTAAGCATATAAAGAAAATACTGTCACCATTTAGAGGTGTGACTGTAGATGGGATGAATAGATTTACTGACCACTTATACACACCACTCGAAACTACAAGTAATTACAGCGCTATCGCTAATCAAATAAAAGATTGTCCCTGTGCTTAACTAATTTAGCACTGCACCATGAAGGCTTGGGGTACGCGGTAGCATAGTTGGTTGAGGCACTATGGCCCTGGGATCGACTCAGCCTCTAACAGAAATGAGTACCAGGAATTAATGAAATAATTTTCTTGGGATGTAAAGCGCGGCCGGCGCGTAGGTCTGACAACCTTACCGTCATCTTTGAGACGATTGTCTAGACAATGTGGGACCCTCAACGTCTGACAACCATATGGGTCTTCACGGCCTGTTACAGGGATAGCTTTACTTTTTCACCATGAAGGCTTATGGGAGAGTGGGTGTTTACATTCACACACTTCAAAATCACCACAGCTCCCGCTAAGCCTTTTTATAGCCTACTGTGTCTGCATCTATCGTTACCTAAGAACGGTTTCTAGCAGTGTAGATTCTTCAGCTCCACGCGCACAGGTTCTATCTTCACAGCCTCCTGTACAGAACTCAACTCTCAACCGACAACTGATTAGCTCGCAGGCTGGCGGCCAGTTCACACCACCCTCGTAATCTTCTCTTCACAGGCTGACTTTCAACTGACTCTGTCAACTGACAGCTAACAACTTAGTGGGTCGCCCCAATTGTCTTTCTTATAATCACGTTGCACGGACCGAGTAGAAAACACCATTTCAAACAGTAACTCTTTTGCTATGATTGTATTCGTTGCCGCGGGAGCGTGTTTAGCGATCCGTTGCCTAGAAACGGGTTACATAAAACCATTGTTTATTCGCCTATTGCATAGCAATGGCTGTACACGCTACATTGTGTTCAGATACACGAACATGTTCTTAATTTAAACGCTATTATTATATATATTTGATGCGATATACCAGTCTTGATAAACAGGGAAACAGTATGACATGACGCGGTGTAGTCTGGTAGAAGTTCACTGGATGACATCCAAGGAAGTAGTATTCTTCATAAGCATCTCAATGAGAGCATCATTTCACAAGGAAACACTAAATACACGTATTTGTAGCACCTATATATATTGTCACGTGTATGTGTTTTTGTGTGATTTATAAGACGGGTTTTGGATTGAATTTATTGACCCTTATACGCAGTACTCAGAACTACAGGCAATACAACGCTGTTCCTGATTTACACACATTACAGTTCACCGTTACACACGCACTAGCTTTCTCAGTCTTCACTAGCCATATCCTGGCAACGGATTTATAACATTCTCACTGTCACTTCAAATCAAATATGAAATCTTCTGTGCATAGCCTAATTCCTTTCTTACCATTATCTGCAATTGACAATGCCGAAGACTCCACTCAGTTCCTCTGCTCCCATAGCTCATATCCTGGCAGGCTGGTGTCTCGAAACTCGACTCTCCTCGACTCGACTACTGTTCTGTTGGATTCTTCTTCTTAACTACTTTGCACGGACCCCGCGGACAACATCGTTTTCTATTTCCCCGTACTATTTTAGTCGTGTTTATCACACCACTGCACAGCAACGGTCACGGCGTGGACCACATAGAAAAAAGTCTCTCTACTGTTGAGCCGTGTTTACCAAGTCGTTGCGTTGCAATGAATATGCATGTCATAATATATTTGGATGGCCCAACCTGTAACCGAATTTCTTTTCTAACTAGATTCGATATCGGAAGTAAGATCGCCGATAACTTACATGCCTCAGTTCATACCACTTCACAATTTTAAAAAATCCGTTCAATTCACCCCCCTCATTGTCATGAAAATGAAGGAAGCATGTTCCTCCGAAACGTCATTATTGATCTACCAGAATACATCGTGTCACATTCCAGAACGCAGTAATCGTATTTGTCACTGCCGTAAGAACCAACTGTTCACTTTTTCCAGAAAGATTTTTCTTACAATTAGGAATTTAACCGTGTTAAGCACAACTGATTTCCTATTCAATTTTCAGAACATAAAAATTCTTCTTTCAGTTCCGTAATGGGCATACTAGTTACTCTCCCAATTTTTTAATTTACATTTCATTTTTATTATTTCTCCTAATTAAAAGATAAAGAGAACGTATTCCTCCACTTAATTATGTAATTATCAACTATCCCATGCGGGAGATAACGCTAATGTGCATATTTGGTGCAGGGTTCTGTCTTCTGTCATATAAAGCTCTGCTCGCTACGTGTTTCATGCTGGTTTTCTTTTGACTTATTTTTCCACCCTGAAGATCGACATGAAATATTCCTCCAAAATGCCGGTTGACGTTCAACGGAATACATTGCGTTATATCCCAGAATGTAGAACTCTTCATAACCACCGTTGTGAGGAACAAGTCCTGCATGCTCTCGACTGGAAGGTGGTTCCCTCGAGTGGCAATTCTACGAAACTCTCTCTTTATTTTTAGAGTATATAATGTGGTTACGATATGTTCCTAATTTCTTCTGATAGTGTAATTACCCTTCCACGTGAAACTGAGTCCAGCCGCCTTCGGACTAGGGAAAAGAGAATATACATATATTGAGATACTCTCCGTCAAAAGTTATGAAATGGTCAGCAAGTATGTTGTAAAAGTTTAGAGGTTTCGCTTTGGTTTTGGACTAGGACCCAAGAAAGAATGTGCTGGCAAGGACCAGCAGCATATACAGAAGACAGACCCGACCTCACATCAGAGAGGGAGTCCCACAAAAATAAGACCGTAACTGTCAAACAGTAATAAATATCTGGTCATACGCCCCAGGTGGGGCTCGACACCAAGCCTTACTGACTGTGGGAGGAGACACTACCCTGTTGATCTCTCACCCACATCTGGGGACGGAAACAGACCCAGTTTCCGAAACGTTTTGTTTTCTAGTTTTTAGAATATCGGACGATGGACAAAGTCCGATACCCCAGTAATTCTGAGAACTTACCAACTTCAACTAAGAATATTCTTCGGCCCCACTGATTTCTAAGAGGCAGAACTGTGAGAACGTCTTGAAGAAGCGGGTTCCTTAACGCCGAGGGCACCAGTTCATCATACAGCTTTGGATTCCGGAACTTGAACGTGTACAGCTTCTTTACCTGTAGAATACAAAACCAGTAACTGATACAGAAATGGTTCAACTAAATTTCTTGAATATCTGTACAGCATTCAATTCGTGACTTCAAACCGAGTAATCTTTCTCAGAAGGCGGAGATCACCGGTTCCAATTGCGACCGGGACAACGACTAATGTGGCTCTGCTCAGTCTCTATGGACGAATACAGATATTATACCTTACAGCAGGCTGTGGCCATTTCATTGCACGTCCTTCCGAGTTCAGTATTTGCCATCAACCTGTCCTTTCGAGTTCAGTATTTGCCATCAACCTGTGCTTCCGACTTTATCATTTGCCATCATCCTGTGTTTTCGAGTATATTGTTTGCCATCAGCCTGTGTTTGTGAGTTCCATATTTGCCATCAACCTGTCCTTCTGAGTTCATTATTTGCTATCAACCTGTGCATCCGAGTTCAACATTTGCCATCAACCTGTGCTTCCGAGTTTATTATTTGCCATCAACCTGTGCTTCCGAGTTCAATATTTTGCCATCAACCTGTCCTGAGTTTATTATTTGCTATCAACGTATCCTTCCGAGTTCAATATTTTGCCATCAACCTGTCCTTCTGAGTTTATTATTTGCTATCAACGTATCCTTCCGAGTTCAATATTTTGCCATCAACCTGTCCTTCTGAGTTCATTATTTCCTATCAACCTGTGCTTCCGAGTTCTTTATTTGCTATAAACTTATCATTTGGCAGCGTGTGTTCGGAGGTACGGAGAGCGTGACTAAATAAACGATAAATAAGCAAAAGAAAATTGCAAAGTAGATGTTTCAGACCGTTTTGTAGGTATACACAGTTCAGTACACTTAGTTAATTGTTTTCGATGGAACCATCCGTATTTTTTGCATACATTTCCCCAACTGCCTTTACTTTTAAACAAGTAATTATAATATTTAAGTAAAGGTACAGCTTTACAATTACGAAGTTCAAATTTTCCTAGTATAAGAATAATTTCTTCACGCTACTTCAATCTGTGTTTATACTCGTATTTTCATTCAAGTCTGTCGCATTTCATTACATTCGTACGTAATGTAATGGAATAGGATATATTATATATGTATTATATATGCATATGTATATGCATACAATATGTAGCATATGCTTATACCTAATATATAGCCTATATAAATTTACGTCTGTATACAGTGTGGAACTTCACAATTACATTTCTTCTCCTTTGTGAAAATAAAAAGGGTTAGATCTTATAAGACCTGTTCCTCTAACCTCAAATTGTTCTTGATCTTTCTATTTTTCCTGTCTTCCTGCATCTCATCGACCCTGCAGGGTAAGCGGTTTCTGTCCATTCTTTCCAGGTGGTCTAAACAGTTTTATTTATATAGTTTTATGTCCACTATTAGGTTGTTCACTTTAACCTCTTACGAAAATCAACATTTCTCTGGCGATAAAATCTTGTATATTTAGTACCAAAATGATTTTGGACTGCTAAATTTTTGTTCATCACCCGCACGACCAAATCCGGTGGAAGTTCGAATATGAGATATGACCCTGAGTGAAGAAACATACTTCCTCCATCTTCAGGCCCAACATACGGGCAGTACGTTCGTCCAAAACGTCTATAACTTCTACCCGATCACACATTGAACTAACGCCATGATAACCTCAAATCTCACACGATAAGTTTTCTCTCTCTCCTCCCGCTACCCCCTTTGGAGCTTAGGGCTGATTTCTCAGTTTCATGATCTTTTTTTTTTTACAGAAGGTAAAACTCCTTGGACGGGTGTTCAGCTCGTCACAAGGCCTCTACCTCAATACAGGACAACATAAACACAGAATAAACGCATACACACACACACACACACACAAACATCCATGCCCTGAGTGGGATTTGAACCCACGATCCCGTGCCAAGGGCGAGCGAAGATAGTACGATGCCTTAGACCGCTCGGCTACCGTGACCGGCACAGAAAAGTTACTGCATTATATACAAAAGGACAGACACGCCAAAATTAACAGGCACTTATACGCTGGTTTGACACTCAAAGAGGCGGACGAGATCGCCAAATGTTACGCGCTTGCTGACGTAATGCGTAAAGCATGTGCATATTTTGTTTGGAATGCCTGAAGAGAGATGCCACATGACATGAGGCTGGAGCCACATGAAATATGTGGGCGCAAGTTACTTGTTGACGTCGGTTCCTACAGCGAGGGCCATTGTGTGCGCCCAGCGGAAACAACTTTCTACAGCAGGATGTTTTCTAAACAAGAGACCACATGCAGTTGAATGCATGCGTGTTCCCGCAGTATACACTTTCGAAAACTGCTACCGTTCTTCTATGTCGTAACAGCATTTAATGGCTTGGTGCGGCCTCGGCTAATATTACAGCCTGGGGAACGCCGTTTTGCCTTTCTTTATTACCATGTTATCTGGTATACTTCCGGGCTTGTACGTGTATTTTAAAGTTAAGTCTGCGTGACTCAAATGTCAGCCTTGTTACTGGCTATCTTCTGCAGAGCAGTTCACTACTTCCCTCAGTATCTCCAGATAAAGGCCAGTAGAGTATTTCCTCGTTAAAATCGTTAAATATACGATCTATGATCACTATTCCATCTAGTTCAGCTCTATAACCAGCTACCACAGAAACCTGGAGAGCGAAGGCTATAATACTGGGCGATCAGGGTTCAATTCCCGGTAGGGGCAAGAGACTTTCCTCTATACCCTAGTGTCCAGATCAGCTTTGGGGACCATCCAGCCTTATCCACTGCATACTAGGGTCTATTTATCCTGTTATAAACCTGTCTGTAATCACTCTATACACAAGACAGTATATAGGGAGAGAGACAAGCATCCGAAATCGTATTAAGAGAAGTAGCAACCGTAGGAAAGAGCTGTTCTTCGTCTTCGCTATGTTACATTTGTAGTGCTTGCTACCCTGTTGACATTTCGCAGGAACTGCGCCTGAATGGTATAGAATAATTTGGTCATGATGCCTACCTAGTAGGCTGATAGGAAGAAACATCGCCGTAGCAGATGATTAGTCAAGCATCAGTGGCTATTCTAAAAATTTAGAATTATAAATTTGAGAGCTCATGTTTAATGAAAACTATCTTCACTCATGAAGTAGTCGCTGATATTAACACAAATTTACACCTAGTCCCGAAAGAGGTTCTTGTGATACTACATCGATACTGAAGTAGGTTTGAAGAATTTATATACAGAAACTGGTGATGGGGGGGGGGGGCAATTTGGTCTCTTGCATAAATGAATGAATACAGATGTTTGATAACAGAGTGCTGAGGAGAATACTTGTACCTGAGGGAGGGAGTAAAACGAGGGGGAAGAAAATTACACAATTACGAGCTTCATAACTTGTACCTCTCGTCAAATATTATTAGAATAATAAAATTACGGAAGATGAAGTTGGCAGAGCGATGTACACAATAGAAATACATAGAGAGATTTAGCAGAGAAAACTCAAGGAAAAATACAATTTGGTAGATAATAATATTAAAATAGATCTTAATGAAATAGGATGGAAGGGTGTCTACTGGGTTCATCTGATTCAGGTATAGTGAATAGTGAGGGGTTCTTCCGAACGTTCGGATTCCACAGTTCTAGCTAAATGAGCAACTGTCAGCTTCTCAAGTAGAACTCTGTATAGGAGACTTGCTGTTCCTAACCTACTACATGTTCTGGGGCCATTTATAAGGACATAATTAATTATCAGTTATATTAATTTAGTGAAAACTATGGCCCTCTGGGTTGTAGCATAGTGCAGTTCTGAGATTGCCTGACGTCTAGGCCTTGGTGCCTCCCTCTGCTGATATCTTGCATGGTTTACTTTTCGACACTAAAGATGAAGTCAGACTGTCTCTCTGAAACGTCTGATTGTTAGTATTCTTCGTAGCCACTCTCGTGACAACCTCGAATCCTTCAAATGCAATAAACTTTACGTTCCAAGTAAGTGGACTGTGTCTAAGGCCAGATGGACAGTGAAAGCAAGACAGGTAGAATTTTGGGAGGGCACAGTTTTAGGGGCGGTGCAGTTTACAACCATTCCTTCTCTTCTATTTTACTATTTGTTAAATGGAAATTAATTTCTGCTACTCCATTGTTTATGTAAAAAAACGAACTCCGTGGCCTGTAGTTCGCAAGCCGAACTATACCGACCAAGCGACCGCCGCTTGTCGGCGAAGTTAGTGCCAACTTTAGCGGATTGAGGGTGTTGCGTGGTCAGCGCAACGAATCCTCACGGCCGTTAATCTCGGTTTTCTAGACCGGAGCTCCTATTTCCTTGAAACAGCTCCTCAATTATCCTCACGAGGCTGAGTGGACCCCGTTCCAGGCCCACTACTCTGAAAATCTGGTAGCCCTGGGAATCGAACCCAGGACCTCTGGAACTCCGACCACTAGACCACGGAGGCTTTGTTTATATCGTGACCATTAATTTTTAGTGAATTAAATATGCTACTCAACAATGTAAATAAAACATTGAACTTCGAGCGCTGACATCGTTGTCTAATTATTCAATCTTAAACCATAAGCGACGCCACGATTACTGAAACGTATTGTCGTGGTTTTTATTCTACCAGTTCAAGGACTGAGTCATGGCCCTGCCCAGACTAAAAAAATTATCGTGCCCATCTTCGTCAAGGATGTCCAATGTCCAATCTTCCAGTGGGGCAGTAAAAATAGTTTCCTATATCAAAAGTACAGGAAGCATCCTTTCTACATGATTAAGCCATTTTCTTTCATGCTCATTTATATCTTCCAACAGCCATTGTTTTCCTAAATTTTCCTTTCAGTCAGTACTTCTTACTTAAGTCACACTCCTTGATTCTCATTTTAAAATTATATTACCAACGGCGGGTCTCGTTACAGTGTCTGGTAATGTACTGCTGTTAAGTCTGCAGAAAGATGAACTGAATTTCCCGTCCTCACGGACGGCGTTTAGCCCTGATCATATTTACACACATTGTTCGTAAAATAATGTAGCTAGTTACCTTGTGCGGAAAACACA